CAAAAGTGTTTTATTATGAAACGTGGCGGCGCAGTTAAATCAAGGGCAGCATTTTGACACCTACTCATAAACACATTATTATTACCGCGCTCGCATGAATACATATTATAGTATATATACGTACACACATTTTCTTTAATAGCGTCTCATGTGTATGCACTTCAGTACTACGACGAGATATATTTTTAAAAAATCACTAAAAACTTAACTATGTAACATTAAGGTCGGACAAATGTATACAAAACACTAACTATATTAGCTAAATATTTATAAAAGTTACATGAGTTTAATATATACCCGCATATCAACGCACTTATTTGCAATGAAGGTTAAAGAGTTTTTAAATATATTATAATAAATGCAATTTAATAAATATGGTAACTTTATAATACATTTCCTAAAATTATTTATGAGATAATATAAGATTTTAATGTGCGCTATAGAAATATCCGCCGAGTGTACTTAGAAGCTGAAGTGTTAGAGCTGTGTTTATGCTTTGTTCTTGAATTATCTAAAATGTCGATAATAGTTATTATATATAATATCATCTCTGACTTCTTGTGAACACATTTGTTGTTCTCGTGAACTTGGTTTTATCGCTAACATTATTATTAATTATTTTATAGCTTAATATGTTTCAATACTGTTTGTTGCAATGCGCTATATCTCAAAACGAGTACGGAGATAATTTATCAGCGTACTTACATAGAAAATAACAGATATTTTTAAATCCCCATAGTCAAGTTGCGCAAACATTTGTCGAGTCTTTATTATGTTCCCTTTAAAATATAGGTTAACGATCCGGTAAACTTTAATAGCAGGTCAGCAGTAGAGAGTACGTATACTTAAAAACGTATTCGAAATTACTAGTTACTATTATTATTACATCATAAGTGTAATCTTCCTGTGTGTGTGTGTGCATGTGTTATTTTTGTTGTCTTTTTGTACGCGATGGTGTCCTATTTATGTCAATTTGAATTGAGTGCTGTCTCAATCACAGCTAAAATACTTTTACGTTGTACAAAGAAAAAAGGTTCGATATTAGCATTCTTAAATTAGGGTTATTTCATATAAAAGAAAAACAAAGACGATACCAGGATATACAAAATTATTATTGACTAATCATACTCTAATTACTTCTATTTTATTATTTTATTGATAGTCGTTAAAGCTTTCAGAAAGGCCAACTATAAATAACTTTTAAAAGATATCCAATACGCTATCAATTATTTTTAGGGATTTTGGCTGAGTTTGTAATAGTAAATAATGTGGTAACTGGTAGTGTATGTACTTTTTTTTAAATTCTAGACGAGCTTGTATGTATAATTTTTGCGGTTCAGGCGACCACGCGTTGCTGTCGATATCTGTGTGCAGTTAGCACTTAGCATGCGTGATCAGTCACCGTGGGAAAACTATAACGATGATAATATTATTATCCATTAGTATTATCTTTTTACTGCCACGATGCGATATTATAGTAAAATAAAAATAATGTTGAAACGAATAGTCACAATGACCGGGAGCAAATAGTTTGTGCGAAGGCGTCGTCGGTTGGCACAAAAGAAAATAATATACTCCTATATAGTAATAACCATATATATGTTGTGGTGTGCGCAGTTAGCTGTTAGAAACAAAGAATCCGTCAGATAGGGCAACTGTGAGCTGTATTATAGTAGGCAGGTGCGAGCAGCTGTTAGTGACTATACTTTTGTGTTGTATGAGACCGATATTATTGCCGGCTGCTTGTTATTTTTATTTTGCTACTATATTGTTCCGACGGACTCGATAATGAGTTTTTTATTTGATTATATTATTATTATAAGTATAGACGTAGCAAAATAATTGTTCGTCTTCCATTATATATACCACTTGGGCATACAAATGGACTGGGTGATTCCGATTAGACGTCACTGCAAATAATAATAATTATTATTATTAGTATTGTAAATCCTGACGACGGCGATTTCAATTAATTTTTTGACTTGACCTCAGGCTCTCGTCGGCATTGCAGTTATTGGGATCTGTTGTGTGTTTGATAAAAGGAAATTGGCGCACGCGTACCTGACCGAAACGCAATAAGTTAGAATTGCCGCCAAAACGCGACGGTCAAATTATACGTTGTAGGTAGTTTATCTATAGTAATAGTTGTATTTGTATTTTTTATTACTTCGTTTGAATCTGACCCGTTTCGACCTTTTGAACTTTTGGTTCGCACGTACAACCGCAGATCGAAACTCAATGCTTATCATTTGTATTAACTTTTTTTTTTTTTATAATATAACAAAACATTATTGTTAAATGACGGTTGAACCGTGAACGTGACATTGTCGTCTCGGTATCAGATAGGAAACTTCTAATGTACACTACAAAAGCGGCGCCCTCAGCTCAAAAATAGGAAATTCGCAACATATAATAACGTAATACAGTGGATCCTGGGGATATTGCTTTTATTTTTGTTCCAAACATCTAAATGTATGAAATTCGGGTTTCTTGAAAAATGATTATTGGTTTACCTAATCTTGCACTAAAACTGTTAGTGACAAGAATAAAAAAAAATTGTGTTTTAGGACTAGGAAATTATTTTTCTTAAGTCTGTAACTTTGCTTAATAACTATACTTTTAATAACACATTTTGAATCGAAATTATTGACTATCACAGATATCCTTGCCCACTAGTTAAAGAAGTAAGACTTATTTGTTCAAAACTTATTATTTTTTAATGAATTAGAATCATTGTTATGATTGAAGAACGTAGGATACCGCCTTCGAGGTGTGCTGTCGTGGAGAGTTTATTCTGGTCTATATATGTGTTAACAATTTTTTTTTATATTAAGCACCTCAAAGGATGTTATTTTATGTGTGTTTTTTTAAATAAATACTTAATATTAAATGTATATCTTTCGGGTTTGGCTTCGATCTAGTCAAACGCGATCTGAGTGGTTCTAGGAAATCTTAAGTATCTAGATTCCATAAACATTAGTCAAGTTTTTAAAAAAATATGAATTTCATAATATGTATTTGATGTTGTATTAATGGCCCCGCTTGCGTTTATTCATCATCTTTAGCGCGCTTTAATAAGTTGATTAAGTTGTGCTTTTGGGATCAACATGCCATTTAATAATCAAGTGTTTTTTTTTGCTGTCAATTCTGTAAAATGTAATTTTCTGCTAAACGATCATAACTCGTTTTTTAGTAACACTTTTCAAGCTCATTTACAATTTCAGGTCGTGCTTAACTTTAAAAAGGAAATATTGTTAGAGAATAATGTTTGCTAATACGAAAAGGTTTTTTCTTATCAAATAATAAGTTCACGATAAAGTAAATACGCACCTAATCGGTGTCCAGCTTGATATAATACTTATTATTTAGGTATTATGTAGTCTAAAATCTATGTTCTACTATTGGGGTACGCAGTAGATTATATTCTTATACAAACATAGCAATTAAACATAGCATCCAAATTGATTAAACAGTAAACTCTTAAATACTATAATGCTGGTATAATAGTTGGATTATAGTGTTGTACTTTCGTCTGTGTTGTCTTGTATATTTTGGCTGAGAAAAGATAGGGCTTAGATTATTTTATTTATATATGTCTGATTGTTGATATCTTCATTATTTTAAAGACCTTCGGGTTTTCGATCTTTGTTCCGTAATTATTTACTCATCTACCGTCTACTCGTGCGTAGATGGCAAATTGAGCCTCGCTGATACGATGATGTGTAAACATATCCTTCTTTTCAATTCTACATGTAATTTTTCACTGAAAACATGAAAAAAACTACGGATTTGCTTTAAATCTTATAGTGATGTTTTTATTTACCACTTTCAAGTGTATTATTACTTTGTGTGAGATTTTTAGAACATTTATACCCGAATAATTAATTTTGTTCTGGTTCGGTTGTGCTAGAGCCTAGAGTGGTTTGCCTACTGCAGTTGAAGCTGGAATGTTTTAAAAGTTGTATTAGCTGGTAAACGAATGAGCTGAACTTAAATATATAAATGTTTTCATGAACCTGCTTATTAACTGTAAATAACGTATTAATGTTGATAATATTTATTAGTAATTCTGTGTAGAATTGCATAAATTGTGTACAATTTTTTTTTTTATTATATCATTAATATTTGATGAGAGTAATCGAGTATACGGTGTTTACGTAAATACTCATACTATTATGAATATGTATGAATCGACCGACGTTTTTTTTATAGGTCTTTAATTGTATTGACGTGGGTATATTGACTGTATAATTACGTTATTATCGAACCGAAACCCTTTTGATGGGATTGAATTACACTCTTATAAATGTCACGTACACGACGAATCAGTTGGATTGTACCTCTGTACAAACGCGAATTAAACCGCTTAAGTACTTGTGTCATTTTTTTTTTATTCTTTGTACTTAAAGCTTTGTTCTAGCGCGGCGGCTAATTTGGTTTTCCCTGCAATCGGGAACGGTCAAGTAGACCGCTATCCGTCAGCACACGAGTGCACAGTTTAGGTGGCGGTACACGTACATGCGGTTATTTGACCGTTTTTTTATTGTTATTATTTTTATTTTTTATGTGCTTTCCGTGCATTGCATTAATCGTGAGAAAAGTAACGGCCACCGGCGTTTAAACAAGATGGTCGACCTTGGACTAGAGAGACATTAACAGATCCGCTTTAGAGTGCAATAAAACTCGTTCGCACTTATAATATTAATCGAATACAGCTTAAAACGAGATCGTTATGAAATCGACAGAATATATTATATTATCACATGTAATTTACGGACCGTCGTCTAGAGACGATATATTATATTTATATAAATAACATAATTTGAAAACAAAAAAAACATTTTTTTAAATTATACATTGTGTTGTTTTTCGAGTGGTTAATTAGTTTTTTTTTTTTTTTGGGCACCATACTTCTGTAAACACATTGTTATTATTAATTACAATATATTTATATTGTTGTCTGTTGGAAATGGCGGTTGTAATTAGATTTTGTTTCGCAGTTATACTGGACGTCTTAGAACTTGATGTTTCGATCTGTGACCCAACACTGCTGACTAGGCGCCGATGAACAATGGTCAAGACGTTCCAGGCGTATCTACCGGACTGCCACCGGACGTACTCGTGCATTCATTGCAGGGCGCACTTGGCTAACCACGACGAACTCATATCCAAGGTACGGTACTAGTGGTAAGTTCGATATAGATGGCGGCGGCACAGCCCGGCCAGCCGGCGGCAGCAGAGTGTGATGAATATACTTGGATCGTTTACAATGTATAGATCTAACAACCGCTATCCAAAACATTATTGTAGGCCTATGGGTTGTCCATTCCCTCCGTCTACAACATAGGATCTGTTACATCATACAAGGATGAGAAGCCTTTTCAAACAGAAAGGTATTGAATAGGATAATTGTAAACAAACAACAATAGGAAATGTAATTAATGTATTACTTATTTTTAGAAAAAAACTACACTCGCTAAATTATAATTTACTACCTGAAAATCAATGTACCTAAATATTCAAATAATACTCGTTCATCACACTTTTATTTATACATAAGTTAACTCTCTAAAATAAATTAACTCTTTTCCTTCAACTAAAATTTTAAAATTATTTGCGCTACTTAGAAATGACTTTGACGAATCATAAAATCCGCAGCTTTGACTATAGGGTCATAGGGTCAGACTTAAGTAGCTTACAAGTCACTTGGGCTGTATACCTCTATCCTTTGTAAATGATTTAAGGACGGTAGCAATGGTTGAGATACTAATGCTGGCTGTGCTGTGCGTCGTCCGAAGAATAAGGGCTCTTCGTATAAGTGACTTGCAAAGGGTAATTAGCCGTTATTTTATTTTTTTAATATATTACAGTTGAATAATTCTTTAAATCTATAAATCAAAATAAATGTTTTTTAGGACAATTTGTGTCTTTCCATTATTGAATTAACCGGTTAGGAGTAATTTTACTTTATTATATACATTTCTCTCGTCCTCGCCGTATGATATTTGTATTCACTATTATATTATCTGGATGTGAATAATTTACAGTCAAAACAGTGGTTTTAAAAAAAATTATAGTGACCTTAATAATTACGCATGGTCAAATTAATATGCAATTTTAATGTTTTTAGATTTTCATTAAATCCACCAAAATTGTTTGAATTAATTCAGTAGTTATTAGATTTTATTGTGCGAAAACCGCTGTAATTAAAACAAAATACATTTTTAAGTAATAATTGTATGTAAAACGGGTAATATTTTATTTTTATTCTTTTGTTGACCTACATTTTCTGCGATTAAACAAAATATAAGCCAATAATCTGTATGAAAAACCTAATGAAAACAATAGAGAGCAATTGCGCTCGTTGATTTAAATGAAATACGTAATTACTAATTAACAATCGAGGAGCTTAATACTAGGCCGTTTCTACCCACACTAATGTCATTGATTTTTAACGTCGCTCTAAGATATACTCATATGATAAGCCCTAATAAACAAAATGTAGCAAGACGCCATTGCTTGATACGCACGTCGAACGATTTAGATCAGACCAGATTCGTTGTTGAGTTTGAGACAATGGTTTTACGGTTGAGTCAAGTTAAGTATAAAAAGACATTTTTTTTATATGTTAGTAGGGATATGGTTATACACGAGTTCAATTGACGACTTTTAAATTAATTGTTCTGTTGGTAGAAAAAACAGCAATTATTTAAATCCGTTTAGATTAATGTTATATTTACGAACAGTGTTCGAAATGCGAAGTCGTTTTTTTCTCTACCGTACGAATTAAATGATGACTATAAAAATGTATCATGCACCTTGCTCGTGTATTTCTATATGGCTTAACTGTGTAGTGAAATGTATACAAGGAGTACTTTGAATAATTTGTATTCTAAAATTACACCTGTAATACTGTTTAGAAAACTACAGCCTACCAGGCAGTTTTTTCATCCATACATGGCACCACAGAGAAAATAAGAATATATTATTATTATTGTAAGTTTCATCTTTAGAACCGGTTACTATGTGGAGTTTAAAAATTCGGATTGCGCAAAACTCGTTATAGGTATAGCGTTTCTAAGCTTTTGGGCGATGGCGCCAGACAAAGATCAAGCGGGATCTATACCGGTATGAGCAGCGTGGAACGCTTGTGTATAACCATGTAATCTTTGTTAATATAATCAGTCATTATTCATTGTACCATAAACAATGTGTTTTAAATCTTTCCCGAGCTAGGAAATAGTTTTAATTAACTTGTCTGCCAAGTGACATAATATGTTATTAATATTAATATTATGCTCACCATTAGCGGAACAGTTTGAACATGATTGTTTTGAAGAGGCATTTGTGTGCAAAATGTGACATTGTATTTTTATTGTTTTTTTATGTCGCATGTTTTTTTTGCACAGATGTATAAATATTACACCTTGAATTTATTAAATTCAAATTAGAAATCAATGAATCTCAAAAAACAAAATTTGACTTCGTTTCTTCTTCTCCAAGCTTTTGGGGCCAGATTTGGTCACGTTTGTTATTTGATAAGTGGGACTTAAAATGTATTGTTCACAATCTCTTCATATTATAGGTACGCACACAGAAATGTATGCCGATTTTAAACAAAGAACGCCATCACTAGACCGCCCATAGTTGACAGTTCTGTTTTAAACTTTACCTTATTGCACAACCATGTGTGGAAAAACAATAATTGTCAGTTAAGTTAATTTTTAGATTTGCCTGGGTATTCAAATATATATATATATATATATATATATATATTTTAATTACGGACTTTGAATACTTGGGCGGCGGTGTCACGCTACACGTGTGCTGTTCCCTTCCCAGAAGAAAATAATTCCTACTCGATTGTGCACGCGTTCATGACACTAAATCTAAAACGTAGTTTTTTCATTATGGTTAATCGCCAGCACGTGTACCGTACACATCCAATGCTACAATAACTGGTTACCAAACGTTTTAGCTTAGGCCCTTGTTACAAAACCAAAAACATATTTTTAAGTATATATATATTTATGTTTATGATCTATAAAGACATTTGTTTACAATACGAAGTGAACAAAAGTGGGTCGCTCCTGTAATAATTTAATGTAAAAAATGTTTCATATTTTTGTTGCATTGTACTAATTTTTACTAGGAATACTAAACAAATTAAATAAATCGCCCTCAGCAACTAAGTACTACGCCATATGGACATAAGTTTACCGACTGGTGTATGGTATACAGTATACCTATTACCTACTAGTGTACGCTAGGAGGCTTTTTATTGAATTCTCGTTGCCAAATAACATGTACTTAAAGTGTTTTTTCACCATCTTATCGCCCACGCGAGTGGAGTCTGTCGCTTTACTTCTTCTCCTCCTCTACCATAGATATTATATGTTTTTTTTGTTGGTTACATCATTAATCTGTTAAACACACACCACCATCGTTAATAATATATTTATAAATTTCTTTGGTCCGTCTATATACCTTGTGGCTTTCTTTAATTGTTATGTTGTTTTTATACGTAATTTTCTCTCTCTCGTCTTAACTACATTATTTCGTTTTATTAAGTTTTCTTCGCAGTTAGCTGCTATTTTGTTGAATAACGTTTGCGCTTTAACGATATTGAACTCTATGCATGTTTTGTAGGCGACGAAACAAAGGGAAAAGTTTTACCGCGGTTTCGCAGTAGGTCAAATAACCGGGTACACTTTTTTTCTCTATACCATTATGTAAACCGTTTGATCGCACGAATACGGAAATTAAACTGCAACCGACAGAAGAATAACATGCCAGTAGTAGTACCGTTTGGCGTTTGCCCCGTTTCTACTGAGTCAATGCGACCATTAAGTGCGTATATATTTATATATATACGCACTATTATTTATGTATGTATGTATGTATGTATACAAATTATTATAAATATACCAACTCGGTACTGTGGTGGAAAGCGTTGTACCTATCCCATTTCCTTGAAAAAAGGCAGCTCCAAAAATTAAATTAAACAATCCACAATATTCTTCATTAATTAAAAATGAAGTTTATTTAAAATAAATATGATGACAATTAAACCTTGTTACTTTGGTCAGATTTTTAATAATTTTTAATTTCTATACGGTTTAATTTATTTTAAGTTTTATAAACCTAAATAACTGAAATTGACTTTGCGAATTACAATGAAATATCTTGTATAATATTATGTACAATTTTCTAACTATCTTATTCAAGCTTTTAGGATTAATATTTATAATTGCATAGTACAAAATAAAGAATATAGATGTGTTATCTTATTTTAAGTGCACAATTTAAGGTAAACATTATTTTAAGTATCATATAATTGGTGAAATTGGTTAAATTCTATTATTCCTAAATTAATCTCGTACAATATCTGTAGTTAGACACTTGAGTATTATAACATACGTTTTCCCTGTAAAATTTCATCCGCGCCAGGTTCCCGCAGTGTCATGTGTGACATATAATCCGCCTTTCTCCTTCCGGGTGACAAGTAGTCCTGTTTTATTATTTTTGACAAAATATGTGTTTACAAATATGTCTTTATTGTGTTCGCTTATGTTATTTTCTTTCTGTGCGTGTCTCGAGTTACTCAGATGCTATAAAAATATTGTTTTTTACCAACTCGGTACAATACAGGGTGTCTCAAAAAGATTTGGCAAATGAAATAACTTGTGTTTAAGTGAATTTCTTTAAGATTTTTTTTTCATTTATAATCATTTGCACTATAAATTCGTTTTTATTCGTTTTTGTTTGACACTACTGTTTTACTTTTTTAATTTATTTTGTTACATTTTATTAAAATAATTTGCTGAAAATTTCGACTGTTTGATAACTAGTTTTGGATAATTACTTTTTAAGGTATTAAAGGTTAAAATATGAGATGGATGGGAGTGCAGTAGAGTAAGCGAGTAGTTAATGGTTGACAAGTTGATACTCAGGAAATATCAACCGATCGGTGGACGAACGTGTGTTGACAATAATTATATGGAGTTGTTTTAAAAATTTTAATTTACATGTGACAAGGCTATTTTATTTATTATTAATTTTACTTTATTTTGGACTATTGTTACACAATTTCACGAAATAAAACTCATAGAAATAATAATTTTAAATTAATTATCTAGGTATTTTTTTTTTTAAAAATACAGGTATTAACCA